GCATTTGGAAACGATATTGTCAAGAGAAACTTTAAACCGAATATTTCCTGACAATTGTATAACCAGAATAGCGTATGTAGTAACATTTAAGGATGGATCTCTCTATTTCGTGTACATCACTTTAAAGTAGAATTACACAACGTTGAAGGTCACATTAATACAACCCCAATCATAAAAGGTAATGATTTTAATAAACACCCCTTTTCACATCAGGTTAAATGAGGACACTCGTCCATTGAGATCTCGCAAAGGATAGTTTAACAGCTCAGTCCATATAGACTACTTACATTTGACCAGGCTCCTAAAAATAGGCTTGGTGTGATTTAAAGCTGGGGAGGCAGAGAGGGAGGCGGTGGGGAAAGTCTCTGTGATTTTTTTTTAACATGGCAGAACACTTGCGGAAATGTGGGCGAGCCATGATCTGAGCGAGGGCCGAGCACACTTTATCCCAAGAGGGTATCATGAAATGTTGAGCTGTCCAGGGGGGGTGTGGGTGTGCTCCTGCCGTTGCTGGTATCTTCAATGACCGTTGTTTAAGTCGTGTGCCTTTGCGATTATTTTATTAAAGTGGCTCGTGGCCACGCGCGAAGAGGCCGACTGGAGAAGAGTCAAAAGTGGGACACACTTTTTTTTTTGGGGGGGGGGGGGGGGCTGGTGGCACGAACTGAGCACGGCTCGACGGCTGACACATCAGCAATGGGTAATACATTGTTATGGGATGGGAAAGCCATCTGCCAGACATGTTGGAAAACAGTACATTTTTATATTGCAGATGAATTTCCATCGCGTACACGTGCAATAAATGCTTTAATGCTGGAAGCGATAAACCTGCTGTCATCGTTTAGTCGGTTAAGTGAAGTGAACTCATCGGTCATGAAGTTATTTTTTTAATTTAAATTAAAGCGTGATGGTTAAAGCAGCAATTGAATGCATTCATCGCAAACATTTTCATGACTCTTTAGAGTGCATGCAAAACTCGAGTTCTTTGGGAATGTAACTTAAATACAAGATATGTTGAGAGGAGAAGCAGCCTTTCAAATATATGCGATACATAATGTTTATAACTAAAGCCTCAGAGAGTTAATAGATTTTTGAAAGATATGAGATTTCAATGTTATTACTCAGACTTAAAAGAGTTTATATCTATCAAGCTAAGGAGTGGGTGTCACATCCTGCCGTTCCCTGCTTGTAAACCTGCCTTGTAAACAGTGACCACCCAGTTCACGTTAATGTGCACACACACACGTAACAAAAATACAACAACACCCGCCATTCGCCACTAAGTGGCGGCGACGTCACCACGACGCCTGTGCCAGGCTAGGCGCACGTTGAGGCCACGTGGAGTGTCGAAGGCTCGTTGACAGGGGGTCAGGGGACAGACCCAGGTGGTGCTGTGGGTTGACTGACTGAGATGACTGGCAGATGCACCAGCTCTGCCCCTGACTGTGCCAACGTGATGACGGACGCTTGTGTTGCACCCGAAACGTCGTGATTTATTTTAATTTTCTACCTACGTGACTTTACCGAAAGAACCAAAGAGTATGGATTCCTGCAGTCACGAAAGCTTCAAATCAAGATTGTGCCAACTTGCTGTATTTTATCTGCCCGGCGCTCCGCTTGTTGTTGTGTCGCTCCTCTGCCCTCCGTTGTTGTTGGGCGACTGGAGGCAGTCGCCCTCTGACAAAAATACGCACACAAATGGACACGCACACGCAAAATACTAAATTGGAAAACACATAGCAATCATCGACCTCTTCTGCAAAAACTTGGCAGCATCCACCTGAAAGAGATATATGAGACTTAGTAAGGCTTTCCTTAGCAGTGATGCGCAATCATAATAATAACACAGAAAAGTATAGTCTCTTCAGGGTGTTGTGGCAATTTGCTGTTAAAGTAAATATGGAATGAACACGTTTATATATACGCATTCACACACAGGCAAGTATTCAGGCATCATTCAGTGTTTTCCCTTCAGTGATTTCTTGACTCACAGGAGATGGATTGTGCACAAGATAAAAAAAACGTTGAAAGGTCACCATTTAGTGATATACCACAAATAATGCATTTCAAATGAATTGCTGAGTTGTATGTTTGTTATGATGGAAGGGGTGGCTTGGTTGAGTCATGGATGTTAACAAGATGACTCGGAGGACCCTATTGAATTGCCAGAAATAAACAATTTAAAACTGAACAGCTGTTGCTGTTTAGTCACAACGGATTTCAAAATCGGTTATTCATGGCATTATTTTATGTGGCGATTCGCCGTTGTGTTCTACATATGAAATGGCTACCTTCAAAAGTTGGCACATTGGCAGCACAGCGTTGCCAAAGCCTAACTAATTGTCGTGTGGCACCCTGGTGGCTGAGCGGAAAAAGTGAAGCAAACTAATGCAAAAACGTTCAACACCTAAGCAAACACAAAGCATTTACACTCGAGTCCGCTGACTTTATTTTCCATAAACAGGAATTTTGACGTTTTGGTTATATTTTAAAAAAAACCCATATGACTCTGGTTTAATGTTATGATCCAACGGATTACGATAAATCATTTGTAAACTGTGTGTATTAGAGTTGATGGTCATCATGACAATGTGGCTGACATTTCCTTCCAAATAGAGATGATAAATGTAAATGCGTGGCACTTTGCCGCATGTCTGCAAGTATAAAATTGTCGTTACTGAGAAAACCAGTTTGTCAAGTCGTTTGTGTGTATATGACTTTGCCTCTTCAACGCCCACAACATTTGGCACATCTCATAAAATAAATTACGCACACCCCTTTTACAATTGACTGCTGGACCATGGAGGGGGTGTTTGTCCATCTTTCATGCTGGTAAATGATACACTAAACTTTTTATATCACCAGGTAAGGCCCACTGAGCAATAATAGCTTTTTTTCAGAAACGACCTGGCCACAAATGATAGCTCAACGAAGTGGCTTATCGCGTGGAAATTTATAGCAGCCAAAGACTCTAAACGCGTGACGTTGATTCGAAATGTGGAGCTGGCATCGTCAGGGTCGGGATCGAACCCATGCGCTCCTGCATACCAGGCGAGTTAATTAACATCTCGCCACCGTTGCGTGCCTATGGGTTGATGAAGAAGGGGCCCAGGACAGGTTCAGATACCACGCCGTGAGCCGTGGCCAGGAAGCACACAGTGCACGAACCATTGTCCACACCCCCTACCCCCGCCCCCCACGTCTTCATATCAACGCATAAATACAGGTTGTTTGTCGAGCAATGCAGAATTACTGCAATACTTCATGCTGGTAAATATGGGTCGATAAATAACCGTAATACCGGTTATGTTAAATAACGTACCTTTCAGTATTTGTGGCATAAGTTTATGAACCTTCCATGAATACAATACTGTGCATAGTTCTGTATTTTATTTATTGAAATATTTTACTTGGTTGTCCTGGTGCAAGGGTGGTCCATATACATGTGTTAATTTACTTTATTGACATTAACTTTAGTGAACTAAACAGATTTCCCACAATACTCTACTGCAAATAAAGCAAATTAATAATTTAGAAGCTACATCAACCACTCCCCCCTGAAAAAACATACATGCATGCATTTCAGCATTATTCCATTCAAACAAGTGAGATAACATCTTTACAAAATAAATAAACAGACAATATACCTCTCTCTTCGTATACGTATATAGCCATCTCTCCACAGAAAAATAAAACGTGTTTTTTCACTACCCATCAGCCACAAGGTCATCCAGTGGGAGTGCATAATTTCAGCAGCAGCGATTCAAGACTAAACTATTTTAAAATGCACCAGGTAAGGGCCCACTGAGCTATGTAGCTCTTTTTCAGAAGTGACTTGGCCACAAATGATAGCTCAACGAAGTGGCTTACCATGTGGAAATTTATAGCCAAATAATCTAAACGCATGTTTCTAAATGTGGAGGGAAAATCGGAGGACCCGGAGAGAAATCCACACGACCACGGCTAGAGAGATACGCAAACTCCAAATATACAGCAGGCATCAGGGTCGTGATCAAACCCACGATCTCCTGTATACCAGGCTAAGTAGTTAACATCTCGCCACCGCGGCACAATGAGACATGCAGTGTCTCATAAGCAGTCAAACTTGCCCGAATCAATGCCGATTAATTTCCAAATCCTACAGGCAAGGACCCACTCTATTTCTAATATGGGGTCCTAAGGTCATCTTAAAGCGACATTTTTTTAAATTTAAGTCGCCACAGTTGGCTGCCACAACTGTAATCCTATAAGGTGAGCCCTCTCCCTTGTCAGCCGGCGGGAGACTCCCTGCCGTGGTGGTGGAGTGGGGGGGGGGTGTGGATGGCGCTGTCTCTTGTTGCCTCGCAAGCTTCCTGACCCGCCTCCCGTGCACCGTACACGCCGTGCCCTGCCGCTGGCTTGCCCGTGGGCTGCTGGCTCCTGGTTGTGTCGCTTTCATTCTGGGCAAGTGGCCGCCAGGGATCGAGGAACTCTCACGCGGGCACTCTAGTCCCTGGTGGGGGTGGATGGACTTTGCCCTACGCATTTTGTTTCCAAGTACAAATTCGTTGCTGTCTGGAGGTTCTTTTTTGCAGGTGTATATATTATTTTTTACGTCATAGTTTGAGTATTGTTTTAACTGTCATTCGTGTAGCCTCGATTTTTCGAGTTGATTTCTATCCGCACTGCTGATGTGCTCGCATATGTCGGCGTCATCAGGTGTTTGACGGAGAATTTCACAACAGCTCTATTTCGGCTGGTGCAGTGGATGAGGGTACACACTGGTGGTCTTACAAAATGCGTAGTCCGAGTTTGTTTATATGACATATAATAGCTCGCTTTCGTGACTTAATACACACCCACGCACACATTCGCAATGACAAGCGTGGAGCTGACTGACGGGACGCATTAGAGGTACGCAAAAAATGTGGAATGCAAAGCCATTGAGACATTGTTTACTTTGACTTTTATTCACGTGTCCACCCCCCCCCCCCCCCCCTTGTTTCATATCTCGGTTGCAGATCTACACAGACTGGGCCAACCACTACTTGGCAAAGTCGGGTCACAAGCGACTGATCCGAGACCTTCAACAAGACGTCAGTGATGGTGTTTTGCTGGCGGAGATTATCCAAGTTGTGGGTAAGTGTTGGCTGCTTTGTTACCCAGTGCTGGCTCTCCAGGGCTGCGGAACATCGTCTGTCACGGCATTCTGTGGGAGGTTGACGTTAAGCCTGTCTGCCGTGACAGACAACATGTTGACTCTAACCGTTCGCTGGACTTTGATGGCTCTCGTTCCCCTGTTTTGTGTGTGGGCTGCTTCATCGTAGATCTGTCGCCTGATCAGTTTAACACGTAGGCTTTCACGACCAATATCATCCATAATAGAGGTTTTTTTGGGGGTTAGATCGTGTAAATGTATTAATATGTCATTAAAACCCACCACCACCCGACACAGCCAACTAGTAAGGGTTGTCACGTAAACAGAACATACCAATTCGTCACTAGTACAGCACACCGGTGTGTTGGAGAGCCAAGCCACAACATTTACAACCTGAGTACGACGTTTCGCCAGTAATTACAACTAGCTTCATCAGGCGACAAATCTGGCTGTCGCCTGATTTTGGGACAACTTCGAGCAACGGTGTTTTGTATTTCTTGTCTGCATTTTGAAGCGCTTTGAGATGCCGTTTCAGTATTTAAAATTACGCGATGAATGTAAATCTTTATAGATGTCCTAGCAATCATACCAAATGCAGGCCTCGATGTTCACCAGTTCCGTGGTCAAGTGTTAGGGTTTTGATCTTTCAGGATAGTTTTTCTCGCTAACCACAACACTTTTTAGGTGTGCATTTACCACTGTAAGTAATGTGCAATCAGGATTGAACTTCACAGAAGAACAGCAGGGTGCATGGTTACATAATAACTTGCTGCATTTTTGGCAGGTGTACTGATTGTGGCCAAGTATTCTTCCTCAGGCACGCACACACGTTTACTTCTTTAATCGAGTTAAATAAATGACCAACAAAATCCACAACTTTTGGAAACTTGTCTTGTTTCGTGAACAATGTAAACCTTGCTTACTGTGTTGTCTCCCCCAAAGTCCCTTCATGTTTATCTCTGATTATGTGTAAGTACTCATCTATTAAATTTCGATTTAAAGCTTTCGTGACTGCAGGGATTCATATTCTTGGTTCTTTCGGTAAAGTCACGTAGAAGGGAAATAGTAAAATAATACGTGACTTTACCGAAAGAACCAAGAACACTCATCTATTTTTTTTCCTACGCGTGTTTAGTGTTTTGTTGGGGGTCTGGTCCCATTGTGCCAAGTGTGCTGCACTGCAACATCAGTGGAGGATTAAACTAAACTGTATATTTTTTTTATTTTATTTTACCAGATAAAATCCCAACTGAGCTACACAGTTATTTTTCATTAGCAATCTGGCCACAAACGATAGCTCAACGAAGTGGCTTATCACGTGGAAATGTATAGCAGCCAAATACTCTAAGCGCATGTTTCTAAATGTGCAGAACATGCACGCTACAAAATATACGGGCATCGTAAGGCTTTTGGATCAAACCGACGACCTCTATACCAGGTGTGGAAGTTATCATCTCGCCACCGTGCTATCAGAACTTGTGCTGTGCCTCCACTTGATTATGCTTTAAACATCAGGACCTGGTGCAATGTGTAAACATCTGCGCTGGAAAGAAAACGGTGGCTCTGCGTATTGCTACCCACACTGCCCCCTCTTGCTGTCTGAGCTTCCATAGGTTCTTGCAAACAGCACTTGAAACCACCAATTTTTTAAGGTTATACAGGGTATTTTTTTGTGTTGGTTACACCACCACACCCGTGCCCGGGTGTTGTATGATAAACAGGTATCGGACTCATCTGTCATTCTTATTATTGCGTGCATGCCACTGTATTGCATACACATTTAATTTATTGAACTTTGAGGCCACAAAAACAGCTATACTTCATTTTAGATACATGAGGACTTCATTTATGTAATTCAGAGAAACAGTTAACTTCTGTATATAAAATGAAAATATTAGCTATAAAGAATAGTATTGCTAAAATATATTTAACGTTGATGTAAAACAGTTCTTTTCCCACAGAATTAAACCAAGTCTTGCTGAGAGCAAGCATTCATTATTGATATATATTTTCCCTTCTACGTTCATGTAAGTTATAAAATAAATCATAAATTCACATGTAAAAGTATACCGAGGGTCAATGATGTTGGTTTTTGTAATGGGCTGGATTTGGCAGTCAATATTAGTCATGCGGGGGCGAACATAAGGAATACATTATGAATATCAAAATCAAAGAAAAAATTTCAGCAGTTTAAAAACGTTGGCCTTTTTTTACTGGCCACTCGAAAAAAATTCACAATTTGGCAGAAGGAAGTTGGGGTGTGCAGCAACAGCAGCAGCAGCGTTTGGGGCTGTAAAAGAGAGTGCGTTAGTGACCTGTGGGTTCCCTTGTCCTCTAAACGTCTCTCCCTTCAAAAAAAGCAACGCAGCCCAACTTGGCCAGTCAGATGGTGTGAGCGCTTGGGGTGGTGGGGGGGGAACTTACGCTCGGCAAACGTTCGCCAGAAAAGCGGCGGCTTAGATGGGTGGCAAAGCGCGCGAGGTGGGAGTCCGGGCTTGGGTTGGAGGACGGCAAAGCAGGTCGGGAGGGGTTTTGTTAGGGAGGGATTTGCTTGAGGGGGAGGGAGGGATGGAGAGACGGCGATGGGGTGGCTCACATTCACACGCAACTCCTTTTGTCAGACGGAGGGGAGCCACAGGGGCTGTTTGTGCTTTATTTATTTCATTAACTCGCCCCTAATAATAAGGTCAGCCAGAGAAAAAGTGCTAAAGTGTGGCTATTTCTGCCGGTGCACATGGAGCCTGTTACAGCTAAATGCTCCTGTGTGCCTCAGGCAACAATTGGAAGCTCAATGCAATGAAGGCTACCCTAGACGATCCCTAGAGATGCGATTAATGTTATGTGGAACTAAAATTGAACGAACAGCCGCTTGATATTTGAACAGCCCCAGAACGGATGTTTACTAAGTAAATAAATAATACAGTCAGCTACTGTAAAAACTTTTTTTTCTTTTACACATAAACCACTTGGTCGATTAAATGCAACCTTGTCATTTTCCTTTTTTAGCCAATGAGAAGATTGAAGACATCAACGGCTGCCCAAGGAGCCAGGCTCAGATGGTGAGTTAATCCACCTGAATTTCCCTGACAGTGTAGAGGAAGCTTTTTGGCTACGGGGGTAAGTGGCAATGTGCATGTCTCTGCTTGAAGGAATCGGCAGAAAAAGTTGAATCTGGAAAATGTGAATAATGCTCTCTGCCTTTACTGTGTGTGGGAAATGCACCTCCCATCAGGCGCACGCTGGCAATGATCTGCTTCAATACGAAAAGCAGTGCATTTTTTATTGGGATAAATCCTTATTGAGGACATCGCAGAATAAGTGTGCATTTATCATACAATGGTCACATTCAGCTTGTAATACTTTGTAATGGAGCGACCAAGACGCAGCCTGGAATGCATTTCTGGAATTAGCCTCCCAACGGCAACTTTGTCGGAAAGTCCACCAGGCGTACAACTTTACCTCCAGAACTTTATTGGCTGGAAGCTAAAGCATCTCTGGGCCTGGCAGCGTGCATTCAGACACGGGGAAAAAAAACCCAGATCCCTCAGAAATGAGTAGGAAGAACGGTCCTTCGACATAGCAGCAAGGCTCAAGTCTATCAGCATTGCTGCAGAAAGCTGTCAAAAGAGACGGAGAAAGTGTCTTTTGCAGCGTTTATTTCCCGATTAGGGGAACTAACGATTTGCATTTGCAAGCTTCAGTCGTGAAGGTATGTACGGAGTGGGTGTTTTATCTAAGCTATGAATTCAACTTGATGCTTTGAGAATTTTGAGAATGTGTTGGTTTATGTTTGAATGTCTCCGAAGGTTTATAATAACAGATTGTGATATTTTGGCACTTACATTCTTTCGTTTGATAGTGTAGATTTAAACCTTTTTTACTTTACAGTACGGTTTTTTTTATATATACAGTAACGAACTGGAAATAACTTTCATACTTCTAATAGCTGGCTATATATGCCCGCAGTACTGTAATTGGATGCCAAAGACGTTTATCAACGTAAATCGATGCCTTTCAGCCTAAAACTTGCATAATTAGGTTGGTGTAAGTGTAGATTAACACAGCATATGACCGTTAAAGGAATTGTCTTGATCGCTCAGTTCTTTTGAGTATAAACCAGCTGTTTTCAAATCACTCAGCTTTTGCTGAGTCTGCCAGCAACTTGACTCTCTCCGCTAGTTACGGTGCTGTGAACATTTCCTGGGGTATTTTTGTCTTGCAGTTTTACAGATTGCCATTCCACCGCAGTTCACGCACGTCTGTTTACCCACTGAGTGTTTCTTTTCAGAAATAAACTTGAGAAGGAAAGCAGGAGAAATATTTGAAGTATCTAAGGCACCACAACTGGTTTCATAGCAGAGATGGCTGCTGAGGACTATTTAAGAACCATGTAGGGATTTCATAAGTGCTTCTCATAATAATAAAATGAAATTAAACATTGCTTTTGAATTCCTAGAGAATTTAGGATGGCTAGGATTTGTTTTCGTCCGATTATTTTTAGATTGTCACGGTTATTGTCTTCTGCTTTATTTGATCCATTTTTACCTTTGAACTGTGTTACAAAAAACAAATTCCACCACGGTCTCGAAAGAGCTCACATCAGCCATCAGAAACTCTAACAGAGAAGGCATCTCCTAAAGCAAGATGCACTAAATGTACCATTTTAAAATAAACCCACGTCAACTGTGTACAGTAGAACGTCGCATATCCGACCCGCTGAGGATTGAGGTATAGGCGAAAATGTGAAATGGTTGGATATGTGAACATCTACACAGCTACCCCATGCACAAATACTACACTCCAGTTAATTCGTCAGAGCTGATATGTGATTGTTGTATATCTGTGGCTACACTGTCGGCCTTGTAACAGCAGTGATCCCAAAATGACTACCTTTGCTTTAACATGTTTGTTGAGTTAAATGTGAGCGCAGCAGGGTTAAGCACATTCTAGTGTCTACCACCTTGGTATTAGGTCACCAAGGAAACTAAATTTGGCTTCCAACTAATAGGGTAATTGAACTATAAATATATAGATAATGATGTGCTAACGCACCGGTGTTAATTTCCTACTGCTTGAATATAACATCTAGTTGCTTCCCCTCCCCTTCGTTTGGCCGGAAATACAGACTTTCTGCTTTACAGCAGAAATTTACATTTCATCTGTCACATAATTTTCCCCACAGAGAGAGTGCCGCAGACCGTCATCTAAGCAAAGTCGCGTAGATAGAAAATAAAAATAAAATGAAAAACCCCCAGGACGTTTCGATCGCGAAACACGAAGACAGCTTGCGTTGCGATCGAAACGCCGTGGGGTTTTTTTAAACTTTCTTTTTATTTATATCTACGTGACTTTACCGAAAGAACCAAGAATATGAATTCCTGCAGTCACGAAAGTTTACAGTCAAAATTCAAGTGACAACTGCTTTTGATAATCGCCAGTGTGGTCTGTTGGCTAGTCGTGGAAGTACGCTGCAATTTTCACTTAACGGTTGTGACCATGGGCTTAGATCAACAGGATGTACTGCACAAATGATTGAAAACCACGTACGTAGGTTGTAAAATGATCATGTCAATTATGTCACTCCAAAAATTATATATTTTTCAGAGAGGGAAGAAGTGATGAGTCTTAAACTAACGGTGTTGATGTGGATACATGGGCAACCCTTAGGTTTGGTAAACAACAAACATACCAACAAACATATGTATGAGGCACTAAGGAGGAAGATACCATCTCCTCGTGATTAAAACGCATATTTTACCATCAAATGGTTTACAACCACCTTCATTCAATGGATTTGCATAATTTAGGGTTGTGATTTGATTCAGGAATTTATTTATTTTTCATTGTGGTAAATGTAGCAACCTCTCCTGACCGAAGGTGTGACGTGGACCTGTTACATACAGCATATACAAATTGAAAAACATTGATTCTCACACACATAATTTAACGCTTGATTCGTATGCTTAAGCATCCATATAAAATCGACCAATCTACGCATTATTCACACCCTTATTTTTCACCCATAACATTAGAGTAATGTTATTTTTCTGATAACAAGACCCTCGTTACGCGCAGCACACAATGATACATCTGTAGTAAATCTTAACGATTGCCATGTTTCGGATTGGCAGGGTTAGGATTAGGCAAATCGTTTATCACGTTTTCATCACCCGGCAATGCGGTAATGAACCAGCTGAGCCGCAGCATTTCATGTGAGACGTGGCTTTGTGAAGAGCTGTCAGTGGGAATGTTGCTCCTTTGCGAGCTAATCTCGCCTCGCCAAATCGAGTCCGAGGAACATGCCAGCTGTCACTACCAATCAACGTGTTTATAACATACAAGGTGCTCACCAGAGGTCATTTCCTGTCTATGATGTTCAAAGCAGCCCTTAATGCGATGCTATTTTGCCCGTAATTGGTCGCAGAGCCTTGATCACTTTTAAGGCGGAATATGATGCATTGCAAGCTCCGCTTGTTTGATCAGATGTCTCGGTATTGATGGTTGTCTCTTGTTATTAATCGCGTGAGTGATGCGATTTGAAATCAATTATTAGAGCTATCTTGCCCAAAATTGAACGCGTAAATAAGCACTCCGTCGTTCCTAATTGGGATTTAGTTTAGTATTCCTCTGGCACGTTCCTGTATTTAATTTAGACTTTCCCATAATCTATCAATAGCCAGCATATACATTACCCAAATTATGACTTATATAGAGAAAATACAATTTTCAGTATGGGTTCCATGGAGGACAACACAAATTTACAGCATGTATCTTTTTCAAATACAGTACCAGAGCAAATCTCCAGAGCAGCTGTGAAAAATTTGTATTTCCAACTTCTTCACGTATTGTCACTTGCACTTATTAAAAAAATGGTTCCGAGGTAAATATTTTACTTTTTTTAATGTAACATATGTAAGCATCAGTGTGTGTTGCAAGTAAACGTTGCGCGTAGACTAATTAATGCAAATGTTAACCTTAATCTCATTCATTATTATTGTATTAGGTGCACATTGTGCGAGGTATAGTGTATATAACAACATCACGTGATATGTTGACTCAGGCAGTATAGGCCAACACCTTTCAATACCATACCATATTCTCTTTACAAGGTGCAGCACTGTCGTATTTATTTGAACATATTAGGCTATGTTTTTCCTACCTTGATTCACCATTGTATTTTGATACTATCTTGGTAAACAATCACCTTCACAACCATCAATATTGCTTGTGTTATTATTGTAATCATACACACGTGTGATTCTGCGTAGTGCCAGTTTTGAAATGTACACGAAAGGGTGAATTGTCTGAAAGCTCCATATTTATTGTTTCTCTTTTAAATCTTGCATTCGACTCCCTGAATGTGTCACCTAAAAGCAAACGCAATTTATTACACTTTGAATCTACAGACTGTTTATTTGAAGAAGGAATTTAGAAAACTATTTTACCGTTTAAAAGTTAGAAATTAAAAAAACAATCTTGAATTTAAAGAAATCCTATAAAAAGGGGTTCCGTTATTTTTAATTCCCACTGTTTAGTGTTTATTGTGACAGCTGCAGATTTACGGTGTGAGTCAGCACTAAAAGTCGTCCGCCCAAATATTTCGCCTTAAACAGGAAGTTTTGAGAGGAACGCTAGGTATGGCCTTGTTGCTTTTGGCGAGATGGCAGGACGGAGTTCCGTTTCGGTTTGTAAAACCTAAATAAGGCCAAATGCGTGGGAACAGGATGTTTTCCATCAGCCCTGCTCAATTGATATTCGGAGGAAATGCTAAGCGAGTGCAGTAGAGAGAGAGAGAGAAAAAAGGTGAGTACAGTGAATACTCAACTTGAATTTGTTGCTCGTTTAAAGCACAATGAGAATTGATGCTTTCGGTATACATCGGTGTGCTTGTATTGACGTAGATGCAGCGTAGTGTGCGGCGTAGCAATAAGGTAATTGTCCTGCGTAAAGAGTAGGAAGGCTGTTTAAGTGGGCAGTAGCTAGACCTCAGGACTGCTCGGGTTGAGTCCTGTAAAAAGCTTGACACTTCAAGGACAACACCTTTCTCTGTGTATATAGT